AAATTTCATTAAATAAGATTATTTTGAATAAATATGTTTGCAAATAATTTTTTTTAAAAATATCTTTTGCAATAATAACCGATCATAAATTAGATACATCATATGACATATTTGAAAAAAAAAAGCCAGGCGATGATCGCCCGGGCAACGTTTAGCAATCCCCAATTTTTATTTATATATATTAAAAGTATTTTAAAAAATGGTAGATTTTCAAAAAATGTTTTTATGTCAATTATTTAATATTATTAATGATAAAAAGAGAAAACACTTCAAACAAATTTCTGCTATATACTTTTTTTAAAGTTAACATTATTTTAAAAACTTTTTAATTTATGTTATATATGAATATTATATGATTATATCCTTGGAGTTATACGGTAAGTAGAGTGTAAGTAGTGTAATGTATGGACAGTAATTATGGACAGTATGGTTATGAAATTGCATTATGGAACAACAATAACGCAATTTTTTTTTTATCTTTTAGTTCTTCAGCCTTTCGTTGGTAAGTATGGATAGTATGGTGTGTTATGGAATCCCACTAACTTTTTTTTTTATTTTTCAGGTTTCCAGATAGTGGAATAATTAACCTTAACTCTCTCACGAGGATTTTTTAGATATAAATCCGGAGCACCTTCACCTTCCATATAATACTCATATAATCAGCAAGAATTGCCGCACATGGTTGGTATAGTGTGGTTGAATAATAGCATTTGAAACAATACTAATGCCAATTTTTTTTATTTTATTAGGTTCCCGGCTATGGAATATGCGGCAGGTGTTGTTTGGTGAGAATGTGGCTGTGTAATGGTGTTATAAAACATCATTAACACCATTTTCTCTCTTTTTTTTTTTAGGTAAAGCTCAAGCCCAGCTCGAGCCAGTTCAAGTCCAGCTCGGCTTGAGCCAGGATTTATTATGGCTCGGCTTGGCTCAAAAAGCTTGAGCCAATATTTGCCGTGGCTCAGTTCATTGCGGACTCAGCTCTCTTAATTTTGGAGCTGAGCTTGAGCTATGCCCTGGCTCAGCTCGAGCCAGCTCATGCAGAACTTTAACTACTAGCAAACCATTTATTTTATAATATCCATTAAAAAAAAAAGAGGAATTTATTAAAATTGTAAAATTCAATAAATTTTCAATCAATTTTTATAAAGAAAAGATCTCTAATGAAATTCTTTATTAAAAAAAAAAATTTCAAGCCAAAATTCTCGATACCCTTATTAAAAGAAAACTATTTCATTAAAATTTTCTATTGCGACTTCTAACAAAATTCTCCATCAAAAAAAAAAAATAAATAACTTTTCAACCAACAATTCTCTAATGAAATTCTCAATCAAAAAAAAAATATCCCGATTCCAACGAAAATCTTCCATCAAAAAAACACATTTTCCCTATTAAAAAAAATTCAAAGATTCTTACCAATTATTAAAAAAAATTCAAAAGAATTTCTATATCAAAAAAAAAACTCTCCTCCTATTAAAAAAAAAAAATCTTTACCGAAATTCTCTATCAAAAAATAATCTCCCCTGTTAAAAAAATTTACACTAACGAAATGATCTATCAAAAAAAAAA